GCACTCGCCAGAGTCAAACACCCGCCCGCAGGGCTTGCCAGAGACACACACACACCCCACCCATGGGGCTTGCCAGAGCCAAACACACACACACACACACACACACACCTGCAGAACCTCCCAGAGTCACACACATCCCTCCCACCCATGGCTAGGGTTGACCCTCCCCAACCAGAGCTGGGGCTGACCCTGCCACAAGCTCCATGCCGCCTGCGGGTGGGGCTGAGGCTGAGTGCCTAAGCCCTGTGCCGCCTGTGGTTAGGGCTGACCCCCCCCCCAACCTCCACACTGCCTGCAGCTGGGGCTGACCCCCTGCAGATCCACGCCAGCTGGGGCTGGGCTGTCCCTGGGCTCCATTGCCAGCACCTCGCGTTGCCGCCCCCGCAACGTTCCCCCACGCCCACACCCGACTGTTTTGGCAAACTGGGCATTTGTTTGTTTTTCTCTTGCCAACTGATCAGCTGGGAAGAGCAAAATGTCGGGACAATCGGGACAGAGCTTAAAAACGGGACTGTCCCGGCCAAAAGGGGACGTATGGTCACCCTAGTTCTAGGCCTAAAGGCTCTGGCGTTAGCATCTTTGTGTCCAAGAACCTCCAGCACTAACATCCAAACCCGCCTGCCGACTGGGGCGGAGGGAGGAAATGGAGCCCAGCCCTGGTATCAGTCGTCGCTTTGGGGTTACAGTTCCCCAGTGATAACAGCTATTAGCAACACTTCCACTGCTTCCCTACCACGGAGGGGAGGGCAGGAGACAGCAAACATGTCAAGCTCTCACCTCCATGTTAAGTGATAAGTACCTATTTAGACGGCAGAGTTAAGGCTGAACGCATCAAGCAGGAAACACTTTGTGCCAAAATAAAAAAAGGCCATCGAGATATAGAAAACGAAGGGCTAGGGTATTTGTTCTGCTGACAGCCGCTGTGATAGATTGTTTAAGAAAAATAGACTCCCTGTGTTTTTCTGGGGCTATCAGAAAGCAAGAGTCCAGCACTTAATAGTCTCAAATGGCTGGCCTTGAAAGGAAAGGGAATGTCAAAGGCATCTGCTAGCCTCTCCCTGCGCTGACTCCTGACCCGTCTGCGGCACAGGGAGAAGGTAGTTAAGGGAGGGGGAGGCGACGGTTAGCGTGTGCTGGCAATTTCAATCCATTTCCTTGGTGCGAGGGCTGCACCCTGACAGGAACCAGCTCCTTCTCTCTCCCATCCGTACCCCACTCCCTCCCTCTCGCAGGGCCAAGAGTCAGACGCATGCCAACCGAGGCACATAGACTCACACAGCAGGCCCCCAGAGGTCTGTTTGCACCTGTAGGCACCATGCACTGCTCACATGCAGCTTTCTCCGTTGCACACACAGGTATGCCCGTACACAGGAACACATATTTGTGTAAACACGCATGTACAGTCACTCACGCACGTGCAGGAACACCCATTCTCCCACAGGCGGCATACACGTGAACACCAGTCCTTTCACACCCAGATACACCCATGGTCGCCCATGGAAGAAGTCACCCCTTCTGGAAGTCTGGGGATTCAGGTTTCATTTACACAAACGAAGGGCCTGGCCCTCTCATGTAATACGGCTGCTTTGCACAGCTCCCACCCTAACGCTAGCCCAGGGAGATCCCTGCACAAGTGATCTGTTCGGGGCTGTTACATGACACTCCCTTTCCCCTCCTCCCCACACTGGTGCAGCAGGGGCGTGGCCAGAACACACTGATGACTCGCTACATTTTGGGCCCTCAGGCCGTGTAAATTAGAGCTCCCCTCGGGCTGCTCTAATTCAGCATGGGGGAGCCGCTGTGCCCAGCCTCGCCGTAGGATCGGGACAGCATTGAGTTTTAAACACGGGGCTTCTGTGCTGCTGGTGGTATTATTTTTAATTAATTGAGAGCATGCATTTTTTAATTGAAACAAAGCTGCTGCCACCTTTCCAGTCACCGCCCCGAGCTCTGCAGAATTGCACAATCCCTGGAGAGGTCAGGTCCACACACGCAGAAGGTGAAATTCAGCCCTGGGCAGAGGGCCAGCACATGGTCAAGACCCCCTCTGGGACTTACGTGGTACCTAGGCCTTGTGCTCAGCCCTCCGCCCAGGGACTGAATTCCCCCCGATGAACACGAACAGATACAGCTGCCAGCTCCATGCACGCACACACGTTCACATATGCCCACGATCGCACCCATGAAGTCCCCCCTGCGCCCGCTCCCCCAAAAACACAGCAAACCCTCTTCCCACTCCGCATGGATGGCGCATGAACCGGCCGTTGGGAGAGGCTAGGCCCCGGCCCCTCCCCTTCTGCCCGAGGACCCTCCCCCACCCGTTCCACCCCCCTCTCCTGACGGAGCCCAGAGCACCCCCACTGTGGCCACCATCCCTCCGCCCCAGCGCCCCCCAGCCCCGAAGCAGCCGGCGGCACAGCCCCCAGCCCCCCCAGCCCCTGAGCGCTGGCAGCGCAAGCACTGGCTCCAGACGCCCCGAGTCCGGCCAGCCCCAGCCTGGGCCCCAGGGGAAGAACGGGAACTGGAAGCAGACAGGAGAGGGCCTGGGGGTGGAGCGGGAGTGGGCCACGCTGGGCTTTGGGGGAGGCCTGTGAGATACCTGCCGCCCATGCCACTCCGGCTCCTGGAAGTCAGTGTCCTGCGGAAGGGGGCGGCAGGAGGCAAAGCATCTGAGGGGAAGGCAGAAGAAAGTAAAAGATGGCTCCTGAGAGCCACGCCGGAGACATGGCTGCCCAGACCGGCAGCAGGGAGGGAGGAGAGGGTGAGCACACGGCTTGGACAAGATTGATGGCCTCGTTGCCATTAAGAAAAAAATTAGCCGATGGCGGCTATCATATTAAAGGGTGAAGAAGCCGTGAATTATTTTCTTAAAGATCTTATCGCTTACAATGATAATTTTACCTTCCAAAAGGCCACTTTTAATGAGGCGAGCCAGGCAAAAAGTCATGATTTAATGCCAGATTTTTTTTTCCAAACACATTTTACTGCTTTTTTGTCCATGTTTAAAAAGCGCCGGTGACCTTTTTTTATTTAGCTTGCCCCAGGTGCAATGCTGCGGCTGATCCTCTTCGGGTTTATAACCTCTACCGAGAGCGCCTTTACCCAACGGAGAGATGATTTAAAGGGGAGGGAGAAATATGAGGCTGGGCTGGCGTTCGCACAAGGCCCTTGCTGTGTCTTTCAACACCCAAATGGTGGCTTGGCTTGCCTTGGGAAGGTGGGGGAGGAGCTTGGCCCAGGGAGATGAAACCTGGTCAAACACGATCTGATCTGAGTTACAGGCCAGTATCTGGGGGATGGGGCAGGGCTGAGCTCTCCAGTACCCGTTTCCCCAGGAAGAAAAGGAACAAGTCAATGTATAGGTCCATTGTCCACGCAGCAAGGAATCCCGCTGGGAAGTGCCTGGGCATATCTACCTGCCCTCATCATATAATAATAATAATAATAAATGGAGATATCCCATCTCCTAGAACTGGAAGGGACCTTGAAAGGTCATTGAGTCCAGCCCCCTGCCTTCACTAGCAGGACCAAGTACTGATTTTGCCCCAGATCCCCCAAGTGGCCCCCTCAAGGATTGAACTCACAACCATGGGTTTAGCAGGCCAATGCTCAAACCACTGAGCTATCCCTCCCCCCCAGGAAGGGGAGTGGCACAGAGTGCCTCAGAGGCAAGGAATCAGTGTAGCCGGGGTGATGGGCAGAGAGCAATGGGGGTGAAAGGTGACGTGTTACCATCCCCGCTGGAAATATCCAACATCCCTGGGCCATGTCTGCATCTCCTTTGCCTGTTTCACATGTACAAACACACCATGGTCATGCGTGCCACAGAGCCGGAGAACGAAATCAGGCATAGATGAGTCATGTGTGAGGGATTAGTTCAGGGATGAGGGGATTGAGTTAGATTTATGCCCTCCCAAAAAGACAGATTTCTCTCACAAATGACAGTCCCATCTGCGCCATAGCGAAGGAATGCCGTTACAACTCAGATCGGCCACTGACAGGATTGAAACACAGGTCATCTGTGTTACCAGAGCAGTGCGCCTGCCATGCAAAAGTCCGGGACTGTAGTGCAAGTCGGGGAGACAGATGAAATGTGGCGTGACCCAGGTGGCACTGCGAGACAGAACCGTGTTGAACTCAGTTATAGCCAGGTGCCCCCCAGCATGATAGATCCTGCTCTGTAAAGTGCAAGCATCGCTTGGGTGAGGCAGAGAAAATAACAAATGGTTCTAGCAATAGCGGCAGGATTTCAGTAGTTACAGGAAAACACGGCTTGTATAATTGGCTACATACTGTGGATGACTCGGTGACTGTCACCAAAACTAGGTGTTTCTAGAGACAGCTCCGGGGGACAAGCTCCGATATGGGTGGGTGGAGCTGGGAGTTTTCTAATGATTGTTAGCGCTTTGTCAGGCCTCAGATGTGAAGTATCATTTTTTACTAGAGCCGTTTCCTACCATCTTGAATAGTGAAAAACTCACAAGGAATTCAGGTGAGATTTTAGCCACATCTAAACCAGGCAACAGGCCCTTTCCAGCTCTTGATCTGAGCTAGAACCAAACCCGTAAGGATGGACCGAAGGCTTTGATTCCTTAGCGTCCCCCACCCTGATCCCTGACATTCAAAGGGGCCTGGATTCAGCATTCTGGATTGGGCCTTTCTCTCTGTTACTGACCTCCTAGCGAATCAGGATCGCATCCCCTGCACTCAGACTCACTGCCATGAATCCGACCCATTGTCTCTGGGCCCCTTGATGGATCCAGTGATTCTGGTACCTCCAGCCTGGGTGCTTTTAACATGAGATTCAACTTCAGCGTTGCTGGTTGTTTTCTCCATGGAAAGCCTGAACCAGAATTTGCATCACAGTCCAGTGGTCTGGCCCAAGACGTGGAGGACGAGCAATTGCTTCATCTTCCCTAACGGGCTGTCTTGCGTCGTCCTGAGGCTGGTCGTTCTGCGCTGTAATTCCCAGAAGCCAGATGATGGGGATGTCCAAGGGCTGGGGAGAGAGAGCACAAAGGAGCCTTTTCCCCCATAGAGCAGCCACAGTCCTGCGCCCTGAGCACAAAGTCTAGGGCAACGCTAGCACCACTAGGCATTGCAAGGGGGGGAGCAGGGTTACAATTCCCCTCCATACTAGCTGAGCTAGAGGGGCAGGCTTGAGCTCTGCCTGCAGAGGGCGGATGGCCCTGGGGACTGGTTCCATGACAGTGCCCCCGAATGCCAGGAGACAGTCCTGAAATGACTGATTAGAAACGAGAGGCCAAAACTGGATGGCAGCGAGGTCGGCCTAATGCAGAAATAAGGTTGGCCTCAGACCACGCGGGTTCCTAATCCTCAGGCCCTGCGCCTGCTTTCCCCTGTCTGCAGCGGTGACAGTCCTGCCTACGCGGCCGGGAAGGCAAAGTGTTCGCCGTCTCGGGGAAATGAGAAAACCAAATGAAGTCAAGTTTGCTACCAGCAAAGGGGAAGTGTGACTTGGCATCGCGAGCGCCGTGTTTAACATGCCGGCGAGGGGTTTAGAATTGAAGTGCTTGCACACAATTTAAAAATAGACAGTTTATTAATCTAAACGGCAAGTGTATGTAGAAGAGGCCTCGAGATTGACATCTTTGGGATTAGTTTAGCCCTGCGTTTTTCCAGAGGTCATCGCCATGGTGCTCAGGAGGGCTGTGGAATAAATGGGGCCGGCGTGCTTCCCGGGACCGCACGCTAAAAACTAATACATAACGTTTAATTTACTGTCTCCAGAGCTAGCCCGACCATTTTTCACATAATCATATTGGATTAGCGCTACCGGCGGCTGTGGGCGGAGTGGGGGGCGGAAGGATTGGTCTGCTGGGGCGGGGGAGGCAAGGGGGGGCAGTGTATTTTTCTCGCCTGGAGGAGGACGTGTTTAACCCCCCCAGCACCAGGACGGTCAGCTTATTTCAGGAGGGACAGGGTGTTCCACTGCAACGGGAGGCTCCCTTGCTTCCGAATCGCTGGGCTGATTCAGACTCGGAGCTCTCAGAGGCAGGCCGACACCCCAGCCCTTCATTTTAAAGCACCATTTGCAGTCTCAGGCCTTTCAAATTCCTCCTTGTCCCCGTTTGGGGGGGAGGGGGGAGGGGGTTCCTTTTTTTTTCTAACAGGAACTCAGTGTTTTTCAACAGAATTCCCCCTGCAACTCCTGGGAAATATTAAAGAACTGCTGCAGAAATAATTAACCTGGGCACTAAGAAGGAGAAAGGGAAATCCGGCCTTATACAGCTACGTTAGCAGCCCAGGACAAGGCAATGCATTGTGGCAAACACGAGCCTAGAGACCCTCCATATGCCAAGCCTGCCCCGCTTTCCTCAGTCACAGGATCACCTGAAATGAACAAACATCCCTCATTCAGGGCAGCCATATCCACGCAAACACCCAATAGAATTAAGGTTACATCAGGGTTTTCCATTAAACCCTGCTTGGGTCAGGATGATTCCCTGCTCCCTGATGAACAAGGGGTTAACTCCAGCTCAGCTTCCCTCTCCCCTGGCAAGGTGCTCAGGGAAGGGCTATGTGAGAATCCCCCCCTAGGTTGACCACTCAGGCTGTGTCTACACTACACCCGGGCTCTGACTCGGGTTTGAGCCCAAGCCCCCCTTCCATCCACACCCAAATCAGTCTGACTCCGGTCAGCGAGCACCCTGGACCCAGGTCCTAAAAGACCCTTCTAAGGGAGTGGGTCAGAGCCCAGTCCAAGCCCTGTCATTTTTCAGTGTGGACGCAGCTCAAGTGAGAAGTTCTGCATCATGCAGTGTGGACGTATTAGCACGGCTGTGAGAACTGGATCCAGCAATTATAAACCCAATTGATAATGCAGTGTGGACACTCAGACATGGGCTTGGAAACACTGAGTCCACAAGCCCAGGTCCCCCAGACCCAGGCTTATAATGCAGTGCAGACATGCCCCAAACGAGATCAGGGCCCCATGGGGCCCTTGAGGATCACATCTTGCCAAATGGCTATCTTTTTCTGCTGAGTCATTTTACATGCTGTTCCCAGCCGCTCATACCTTTCCGAAAAAGTCACATTTTGGGTTCCATTTTTTCCATGTTTAATGTCAGCCCAAAGGCAAATGGTTCGGGAAAGTTCTCCTCCCTCTAAGGAACTGGGTCTTTTAACAGTTGGCCTGGACATTTCAGATGATATTCTTCTATCCCTTTGCAGACTTCCCTGCCTCTGAGCAATCATTGTTGCATCCTACTGGATGGTCCTCAGAAACAAACCCTTGGCGAGCTGGATTTTCAGTGGCTATTGTTGAAGATTGCTTGCTTTCCTAGGTCTCTGATGGAGAGGTTCAGGCTGGGTCTACACTAGAAATGCTACAGCGGAACAGCTGCGTCTGCACTGCTGCAGGCCCCGTAGTGGAGACACTTACTACAGCGATAGAAGGGGTTCTCCTCTAACTGTAGTAAATCCACCGCCCCGAGGGTCAGTAGCTATGTTGACAGAAGAATTCTTCCATCACCCTAGAACTGTCTACGCTGGGGCTTACGTCAACTAATCTTCGTCTCTCAGAGGGATGAATTTTTCACACCCCTGAGCAACGTAGTTGGGTCAGCGTAACTTTCTAGTGTTGACCAACCCTTAGCTAATTTGCATTTTTCATAGACTTTTTCCTCAAACTCTCCTACTACTAAAGTTAAATTATTACTGGATGTAAGTCCTTTAAGTATTGTCACCCCAGTCCTGTGATTTCCCATAAGCGTTGGGTGTACTGAATTTTAGACTTCCCCACTGTTGATTTGAAGGCTATCAATATATTTCTTAAGTCACAATAAAAATAATTTTCTGATTTTTTCCATATCCTGGTGAAAAAAATCTGTGTTTTTCCAGATGCTAGGTATTAAAATGTATTCAAGAGTAACAGTAAATGACAATATAATGTGTATTAATGAAGCATCTTTGTTAGTGATGTGTCGTTATTGAGACATTTAGTGTCATTTAAGTGTACGCTAACACACAATGCTTTTGATTGTTGCTGTGCATTGTTATGCTTTCATCTGTAGTATCCTGTTTGGGGATGTTTTCTGGTGTGGGTTTGGGGTTTCATGCATTCTGTGTCTATTCAGTGCTACAAAATGCTACAACCATGTTTTTTACAACCTTAGATAAACTACCTGATCATCTATTCTGATCCTAAAATTAAAGACTTTCTCCCAGTGCACTAGGGGGCAGAGTTAAGGTTGCACTTGCTGACTTAACTCTCACATTTGACCGTGTCCATTGTGCAACCTTCACATTACATGAATGCATGTGGATGTGTTTTCTCTGTAAACAGGTCATCGGATAGGGAGACTATGAGACAGGACCCCAAGCTAGGATGGTGCATATCATTCTAGGCTATCCTTTTCCCTTTTCAGACTCCTTTCCTCTCCTCCCACACAGCGCTTTGCTGTGCCACTTACATCTTCGCACACTCACTAGGAGGTAGTGGGAAAGCAATGGGCACCTACCTGCCCATTGCTGCCCCTGCTGGAGAGCTCGAGCATTACCTCTGCAGCACTGCCAGCCACATGCCCGTCCCACATGGAAGGCCGTGAACCCTGGAATCAGCGCAGCTCCATGAAAAGGAGGGTGTGGAGAGGTCGGGCAAGGGGTCATAGGGCCCCGCTGCACCTCAGCCTCTGCAGCAGGCCCACAAAGAGGGGATTTGAGGGCAGGATGGGTGAAGGTCACAGCGTAACCCAATGACATTGCACCACCGTTCTCGTCCTACATGTAGGGTCTGCATGCAGGTCATGCATGCCCTGAGGCTGCAGTGATGGTCGCCGAAGGGCTGCGAGGATGTTCTGCTCCTTGGCCCCAGGATGGGGAGGAGGATCCCAGCCCTCCCCAGGGCAGAGTAGCTCCTGTGTGAACGGGCTGTGTACAGGGACTGGGATTCGGCTGTTGCTGCTCTCTCAGACCCAGCCCTTCCGTGAGGCGGGATGGCATGTGCTCTCCCACGCCCGAGAGGCCAAAGCATCGCGCTGTCAGCCGGTGCTAACATGCCCCCTCTGGGCCTGTTACAGTATTTATTGGCCAGAGACAATACATTCCTGCTGGGAATGGGAAAGACCTTGACACTGCCTGTGATGTATCATTGCTCTGCCTTGCTCACAGTGTAAATTTCTCCTTTCCTCTCTTTCTCTTGCAGTCAATTTTGTTGTCAGCCTCAATCAAGCGGGAAGGAGACTCTCGGACAGCATCGCCTCACTCCTCAGATGATATCCATCACTCAGACAGATACCAGGTGAGAGAGCAGCCAGGAAACAGCCAGGCAGCGCAATCCGCTGGTCTTAGCACAGGACTAGGAGCCAAGAACTCCTAAGAGCTACTCCCAGGTCCCTCCGTGCCCTTGGCCTAGTTCCTTAACCTCCCTGCCCCTGTTTCCTCTGTGTGTAAAATGGGGATATTAATACTTCCCTCCCTCACTGAAGAGCTGTGAGGCGTAACACATTAAGGTGTGCATTGCACTTTGAGATCCTTCGATAGAAAGGGCGGTAGACATGCAAATTATTAGAAAAAGTAAGTCATCTAAGTAATATTATTTATTATTATTAGCAAAAATCATGCCCCCAAAGCATGATTACGCACACTAGAACTGTCTGGGACTTCTGGCTACATTGCATCATGGTGTGTGGGCATACAGCTCAGAATGCAACAGAACACAACCCTACAGGGTTAGTGCAATACAGTGCAAGTTAAGAGACATATTGTACCCTCGGTTGTGTGTTTCATTGGTGTGGACTGAGGGTAATTTGTGGCCTCTCTGCCAGGTATATAGCCAGGCCTGAATCATGCACATATGACTCAAATGTATAGCCATATACCCATGGAAAATGTTCCTTCTGCCTCCCCAATTTACAATTTCCCTGCAAAATGACACTAATCAAAGGCTCAAGAAAGGTAACATTCAGCCATGTATCAATGGTCTGTTTAAGATCCAGTAACTCACACCCCGTCAGAGCTCTAGGAATGGGACCTCTACCTCATTAGGAAGCGGAGAATTCCAGCACTCTAATTAGATAAACAGCACCTGCTTCTTGCCGTGGAAGGTCCAGAGGAATCTGACTTTAACATTACCACGTTGCATGGGAAAAATCTAGCTTAGCTCATTTGTAGTGGTTTCTAAAATTGTATTTGTCATACCTTCTCTCTCCCTCTGAGCCCTGTACGGTTGGGCTCACGGCTTGCAAGGATCCTGTATGTGAAAAGATACAAAAATTAGTTCCAATAACATTTTTTAAAACTTTCTAAATCATTTTAAAGAGATTTCTCGGTGAGAGACGCAACTTGGCACGCACAGAACACATGCCAGTGTGGAGTGGTGCAAACAACTCAGTGACACTGGTCTGGGCTGACCTGCAGAACTCACCTCCGGCTTCTGAGTCATCGGATAGTTATTTCTTGAGCATCCAGAAACGTCTTTGTGCACATCACAGACATGCAAGGTGTCACGGAGTGTGGGGGGACACAAGGCCCTGCACCCCCGGCTTCCTGCGATTC